CTGATAATTAGGGGTGTGGGCTTAGCAAACTGCCTATAAAAGAGAACTAAGAGTTTTTTTAGCCATGACCTTAACACTGTGACAAGATAAACCCACTGCCATTGAGTTGATTCTCTGACTCATAGCAACCCCCACCGGGTTTCTGAGGCAGTAAATCTTTACGGATGTAGATTGCTGTGACAAGACAGCACTAGTTAAACATATTAAAGGGGAGGTATATTTAGTAACAGCAAGGGAATTCAGGCCTTTGAGGCCTTCTGAGGCTAAAGATGTCCAGGCAGCCTGTGAAACTGCAGGTCTTACAAAACAGAGATGGAATCAGAATGAGGTGGAACTAACCCCTCAGGAAAATGGTCCAAATGGAGAAGTGTGGCAATAGTCCATGCTCTCCAAAAAGCAGATACCAAAAATAGGATAAAAAAAATGCAACAAATTAGAATTCTTGTGAGAGAACAAAGGATTCAACATTCAACACTTACTGATGGTCCTACCCAATGTAATAAGGTAAGAAAAAGAAAACAGACTGAAAAGGAAGAAAAACTGTCTTTATTCACAGATGACATGATTGTGTGTATAAAAATCTTAACGGAATTTACAAAAAAATATTTTACCAAAACAGGTGAGTTTAGTAAGGTTGCAGAATAAAAATTCAATACACAAAAAGTAATTGTATTTCCATATGTAAACATAAATCATTGGAAAAATTAAAATTTAAGAAATACCATTTGCATTAGTAGCAAACATTCAATACTCAGAGATAAATTGTTTAAAATAAGATGTGCAAGCCCCTACACTAAAACTACAAAACAATACTACATATAAATGAACAGATACATTATGTTCTCATGGATTAGAAGATCAAAAATTTTAAGATGTCAATTCTTCCCAAATTGATTTTTAAAATCCAATATAATCCCAAATAAAATTCTAACGAATTGTGAAAAATAGAAATTGACATACAGTACCCAATTTCAGGACTTTTTATAAAATATAGTGACTGAGACAGGGTGGGATGAGTGGGGTGGTGGTGGTGGTGGTAGTTGCTGTTGAGTCAGTTCCAACTCCTGGTAAGCCCATGTGTGCAGAGCAGAACTGCTCCAGGGTTTCCAAGGCTGTGACCTTCTGGAAGCAGATCTCTAGGCTTGTCTTCCGAGGCACCACTGGGAGGGTTCAATTTACTAGCCTTTTGGCCAAGAGTCAAGCCCTTAACTGTATGTGTCACCCAGGGACTCCATGATAGGAGTATATAAGTATAGCCAAATGGATCAATGTAACAAGACAGAGTCCAGCAATAGACTGATTTTTTTATAAAGTTGCCAAGGTAACTGAACGAGGAAAGCATAGTTCTTTCAACTAGAATGTCTGGATACCCATATGGAGGTTGAGGGGAAATGGACTCTGACTCATACTTTACACCATTTTCAAAAATTAATTCAAAATGGATCATGGATATATAAATGTATATGTATGTATTTATGTATGTATGTATGTATACACACAAGCCATTCTTTTTTTAAAAAATTGTGATTTGGGTGAAAGTTTATAGAGCAAATTCACTTTCCATACAGCAGCTCACATACACTTTGTCTCATGACACTGACTACAATTGACCACAATGCAACAGCTCCCCTCAATTCCTCCCCACAGTTACCTCTTTCCTGTGCCCTACCCTCCATGCACTCCTGTCCCCTGAGCTGTCTCCCTGTACATACACAGCCCTTCTATTCTCCCATGATTGTTCTCTCCAAGGATATACACAATCCATTTTGAATTAATTTGTTTTTGAATTAATTTTTGAGTATGGTGTAAAGTATGAGCTTATATATATAAGAAGATCTGGTAGTATAGTACCTAAGGCATTTGACTGCTAACCAGAAGGCTGGTGGTTCCAATCCACCAACCAATCTGTGGAAGGAAGACTGGGCAATGTACCTCCATAAAGATTTACCACCTTGGAAACCCAAAGGGGATTTCTCTGAGTTGGAATCAACTTGATGGCAGTGAGTTTGGGTTTTTATGTGTGTGTGTATGTGTGTGTGTAGTGTATACATATACATATACCCACATACGTTGTTGTTGTTATGTGCCATCAAGTCAGACCCGACTCACAGTGATCCCTCCTTGGGTTTCTGAGGCAGTATCACTATGAAAGCAGATTGCCCCATCTTCCTTCTGAGGAGTGGCTGGTGGGTCTGAACTGCCAGCCTTCTGGTGAGCAGTCAAGTGCCTTAGGAACTATGCTACCAGAGCTCCCACCCATATATATATATATATATACACACACACACACACACACACATACACACATACAAAATGAGTCTTGGTGGCAGAGTAGTTAAAGCATTTGGCTGCTAACCAAAAGGTCAGCAGTTTGAACCTACCAGCCACTCTGTGGGAGAAAGATGTAGTAGTCTGCTTCTATAAAGATTTACAGCCTTGAAAAACATATAGGGCAATACTCGTTTCTCCCATAGGGTCACTATGAGTCAGAACTGACTTGACAACAGTGGGTTAATACACAGTATATGCCTGAGTTACTAATATCTCATTTATGGACAACCTGTACTGGCCCTTTAATGTTGTGTAAATTTGCCCTCACTTTGAAATGACTGAAACAACCCCTAATGGCAACAATTTCTTTAGCACTATCATCTTCACTTGCTGCATGTGCAGTTTCTGAATCACTGAAAAGGGTTCAAGGCTTTTCTTGCACTAAAACCAAAAAAACCCAAATTCGCTGCCATCAAGTCAGTTCCAACCATAGCAACCCCTCCTTGGGTTTCCAAGGTGGTATGTCTTCTGAGGAGTGGCTGGTGGGTTTGAACTGCCAGCCTTCTGGTCAGCAGTCAAATGCCATAGACACTATAAGAACCATATGTACTTGTTCTGACTTACCTACAAATTCGACTTAAAGATACACTTATAACACATCTCATTCGTAGGCCAGGAAGTATCTGTAAACATAAGATTTCTACTTGAAAACTTAGGAAAATATCTTTATAATGTTAGTACTGAGTAAAATATCTAGGATACAAAAGAAAAAAAATCAAAGAAGAAAAAATGAATAAATTTGATTTTATCAAAATTTAAAGCACTCCAGCTGAATAATACCATCAAAAAGAAGTACAGGCTTTCTACATTCTGGTGAGACTAATTACTAATCACTGACTAATGTTATCACACTTGTAAGTCTGCTAACATTTTCTTTATTGTCTTCCAATATTGTTTATTACTTCTATATTGTTTCCAATACTAGAATTACATGTGGGTGACATCTTCATCACTGAAATTCATTTTAGTTCAGAGAAGGCTACACCATAATGAAAAAGAAACAAAATGAAAAGAAAACGTTCTGATATGCCTCTGATCTTCAAATGTATTAAGTGAAAAAGACCAAGGTGCACAGCCCTGTATATGTTCTGCCTGGGAATTTAACTATGCATTAGACTCAGGAAAGACTCAGCAAAATCAGGCACTATGGATTCCTTTAGGGGAAGGGAAAACCAGTAGATAGGACATAGTGGTGGAAGGGAGACTTTATCCTTTTGCACTTAGAGAATTCTGAGCTGATTATTTTAACTATTCAATAAGTAAAAAATTCTTAAAAAAATACGAGAGATGAAATGACAAAGTGTGAAAAAAAGAGCAAATGATACTCATTTTCACACACAAAAGAAATGGAATTTTGTGCATTTTATTTAACAAATTTAGCCCATAAAATATTTGTAATTTAAATCTTCTATACACTATATTCATGTACCCCAGGAAGCATGAAGTAATACTTGCTAGAAAATATTTCGCATGGCTTTTAAAAAGTTCTGTTATCTTCTCCTTTTTACATTAGGATTATATCTGCAAAGGAAGAGATCGAGTTAAATGACATCTAGATAAATTATGACATTTCTTTTTCACTTTTAAATATAAAAGGCTTTCAAAATACAGTCTCATGTTTTGGAAAATAGGATGAGCATGACAATTTTGTCCTTAGGATCAGAGATATTAAGCACTGACATTTTTCCCTTTAGCCCTTTGATGAACATTTACTAAAAACCAAAACATAACAACAAAAATCCTGTAAAACACTAAAATAATCAATGAAAATAACAGCTGAAAAATCAGTCTGTATTTATACTTCTAATTTTGGTTTCAAACACATGTACACATAATACAAAATGGTATACAATTTGCACAAAAGAACAAAAAGAACCTAAAATTTAATGACCATTGTATAAAACTTGCTTCTAAAGCAACGAGCCAAATGTAGCTGGGCAACCAGATATTCTTGTTTGACTGCTTATGAAAAATTAATATTTGCCAATATCTTCACCAGTAATTCATATTGTCAATAATGAAATTAGAGAATCAAACTGCCTACAGAATAGACTAAAAAATACAGTACTTCTTGGTTCTACCTTTAAGTAAGTTTGGAAAATGTTATCTTCCCCAAGCCACGATTTACCTATAATTAACTATTTTATGAGTAGTGAGATGTAAGTTGTTATAAAGTTTTTCGGGCCTGCAGGAATGAATACTAAAAACGTGTTAAATCAGAAATTGTAATCACCTATTGTAACTCTTCTAAAACTTCTCACAAAAACCTGCATTAAAATACTAATCTAGCCTTTTGTTTTTAAGCATGTACCAATTAAAACTAAGCAAACAGTCTGGCACTGTACTTGCTTTAATTCAAAACTCATTCATTCATGATTCTGTTAGTGTTGAAAATGTCACAAATTTATCAGCCAAATTAACCCGACTCAGGGACCTTCTTGGCTGAAATTCTAAGTACCTTGTGATTCAGCAAATCTGAATCAACTTTCAAACCTCAGGGCGATATTCACTAAACCTAATTAAGAGATGGGAGCTCTGGTAGCATAGTGGCTAAGACACTTGTCTGCTAACCAGACGGCTGGTGGTTCAAACCCACCAGCCACTCCTTGGAAGGAAGGTTGGGCAATCCTACTTCCGTAGTGATACTGCCTCGGAAACCTAAGGAGGGGTCGCTGTGAGTCGGGGCCAACTCGACGGTACATAACAACAATTAAGAGATAATCAAAAAGTAAAAAGAAACACATTTAAAAAAAATTCTTTAGGTAAGAGGACTAAGTATCTCTTTATCCAGACAAAAGAAACTTTTAAGAAAAGAAATGAATTTTATATACATCTCTCAAAGGCACACGAGAAAGCTGAAATTAAACTTTACCTAAAGAGATCATCAGCAAGAGACTCTTCTTTTGCATGCTGATTTTGCACCTGTCAAAATTAAAATAATGTAAATATTTGCTCAATGATAATGTCTGAGGTTTCTATATCTAGCAGGCTACCAAGTCCCATGAGTTCATTCCTGCCTCTACAATATTTCTGCTACCCAACAGATACTATTTCTACTTCATGTCAAGATTATTGCAAAAGTCCCCTGCTAAAACCATGTTCTAAGTCATCTCCTCCCCAAAGCCACACCAATTTATATATTGCTAGTTATTACTTTTTAAACATTTTTTCCAAGAAATCTTTTTCTCAATGAAATTTCAGTGCTTAGGAGTCAGACTATTGGTGAAGAATTTGAGAGGGCAATATAGACCCCACCTAAACCAGGGCAAGTCACAGGTGACTTGGTTCCCTTCCTCCCAATCCCAAATCAGGACTAAGAAGCTGCTGCTGAATTATCTCTCCCACAAGTAATTTTAAATACACACCAAACTCTTAAAGCATCTCCAAAGGTATGTCAGCAAAATACTATGCTGGGTGTATCTTTATAAACTCCAGCTATGATCTTCTCCTTTGCCATATGAATTTGTTAAACAACCTAAAATGCTACATTATCTTCTGTGGAGGATGGGATACATACCCTGGTATAAGATACTTAATTAAAATTGTAGGAGAAAGCCAGTCCTGCTTTTCCATGAAAGTTGCACATAGTTCCACATGAGCCTATCCCTTCCCCTTTCAGTATCTTCAGGTAACAGAAACTAGATGGAACCAGCAATGTGCCTGACTGAGCAGGCTGCCATGCTGACAGTGAGGCCCCAAGGTAATTCTGTTCTTTAAGGGCAAGCTGAGAGGGTTAGGAGTAATTCTGACTACATTAAGTTTTTGCCTCTTAAATGAGCTTTAGAACCTAATTCCTACATAAGATGGCACTTGATGCTTCACAGGGCAGACAGAATCTTACTTTAAACAACTGCAAGATAGAAGAAAACAGCCAAGTTACTCTATATATGAAAGAAAAAAAAAAGATGTTGGAACAGAACATGCAAGACAGATGAAGAACCCAGTCTGCAGGGAATAATAACCCAAAATGGAAAAAAAAAAAAAAAAAAAATTAGAACACGGGGAACATGGAAATAATAAGATAAGAACAAAAAGATGAGATGATTAGAAAACCACAAATATATACTTGGAAACAAGGCACCCCATACAAGAACTAAGAGAAACAGATCCACAAAGATTTTAGGTATTGGTATTACTTGGCAAAGAATATAAAATAACTGTTCAATACACTTAAAGACATAAAAAAGTAGCTTAAGATGTCAGCAAGAAAGGAGATTAAAAAAGAATGACACAGCCTTCTAGAAATGAAAAAACACAAGAGGTTGAATTTAAAACTCAGTGGCTAGATGGAATACCAATCAGATATTTGAAGACAAAACTAGTAAACTAGAAGACAAACTGAAGAAATTACTAAGAAACAAAGACTACAGAAAAGATGACACATAGAGAAGACAGTAAAATTTAAGTTATGCCAAACTGAAGTTCCAGAGGTGGTAACAGAGAAAACAGGAGAAAGTAAAATTTAAGTTATGCCAAACTGAAGTTCCAGAGGTGGTAACAGAGAAAACAGGAGAAAGGCATTACAGCTACTCCTCCCTTACTGACTACCTCATTATCTCACATTTTGCTTTTACAACAATAGTAAAACATCTATCCAAATATTTTGCGCATTACAATGTGTGTCTGGCTATAACGAATGATGAGATGTGAGGAGAGTGACACTGGCTGTGATGGTTCAAGTTGTATGTCAGCTTTCTGGGGCCACGATTCTCAGTGGTTTGACAGTTGATAATGGTGTAATCTGGCAGTTTTGCGATGATGTAATCATCCTCCACTTTTACATAACACCAATTTTCACATAATGACTTGGTCTCTGGAACCCAACAATGTCGGTAAGTGAGGAGTGGATATATATGAGAAAATGATGATGAGAAATGTTCAGAATTGTAAAAAGAAAACTCCCAGATTTAGAAAGCCATGACCAGTATATACTATGTAACTGATATATTTTTAATAACCTCCATGAGTGTGTGCCCATATTTTTATTGTTATCTTTTACTTACTTTATACATATTTGTAGTTAAAAGTCTTTAATTTTCTCTTACATTAAGAAATAAACTTAACTCTACTGTTCAGTTCCCATTTTACACACATTTTTTCCTAAACAAAATAAATCTAGAGTTCTCTTAAAGAATTGTATGAAATGGTGCAGATTAATCTTAATGCTCTATAATCAGTTTTCCTAAATGAACAATTAATCTTGGGTCATTTATCTTAAACTTGGTATTAAGAAGTTGTTCTAAGGAAACACCACATGGGATCAAAATACAATTCCAGTAAGTTTCTGGACCTCACTTTCCACCAACCTCCATTTCCTGTCTTAGCCATTCTTCTAATTCTGTATTCTTTCGAGCATGATGAGCTATGAGGTCTGACCCCCCAATGATGTGTGGAAGTATTCCTGCACCAGGAAATGTGACCTGGAAAATAATAAAAATAATGAGGTTAAGTACCAATGAAGATGATTATTTTTAAAAAAGCAAATACTATAAATCAAGCATAACCTAATTGCCAAAGACGTTTCCACTCTCTATGAAACTGAATGAGATGTAACTGTGTTGCTAGATCTCTTTGGAGGACCTCTGGTACGTAGTGCCTAAAGCACTTGACTGCTAACCAGAAGGCTGGTGGTTCAAACCCACCAGCCACTCCTCAGAAGGAAGGTTGGACAATCTACTTCCACAGTGATACTGCCTCGGAAACTCAAGGAGAGCTATGAGTCAGGTCCAACTCAATAGCAAATAACAAAACAACAAAGATCCCTTTGGTTTTGCCCTAATCTTTTCTATCTATTATTATATCCAGATTTAGATATGACACTGAGATTTATATAGTAGGAAAAACTGAAGATTTTAAATTTGGAGTTTTTATTAAAAATGGCCTTAGCTCAACATCTAGCAATTAAAGCACCTCAAGGTGGATGTACATGTTCTAAGTTAAAGCACTACTTTTTATTCTAAAGATTTTATAATTAAGCCATTTCTAGCATTCACGAAAATTTATTTTTTTGGAAACTTTAGTGACCCCTAGCAAGAGATGTTGAAGGTGGCAACAGTTTATACTTTTAAGAGAATGTGTAACTGTTTATAAACAAACAGGTGCTATAAAAAGGAAATTTCGACGTGAAAAATAAAATAAATCACACATTCACTATTATATTTAGAGAGTAAGTAATAAATTCTTAATATTTATGGGACATACTTTTAAAATTCTAGTATATGAAATGGAAAGGGAATATTAACTTAGTCTTCATCACTAAGCAGTATATTAAAAGTCCAAATAGAGCCATTTCATTGGATTAGAGATTTAGTCAAATGCCTTCACTACAGAGACAATCCAGTTAAAGAGCTTTCTATAAACACTCTGGTTTTAATTTCTTTGATAGATTCAAGGCAAATGTCATAAGATATGAACAATTTTGAGAGTTCAAACAATTTTCCTAAATACTCTCCAGATCTTTGTACTACTTTATACTTCTTTGTAGTATTAATACAACACTCCTGTGACAGAAAAGAATATTATAACTTTTCCTTTTGTGATTTAACTAATGAAAAAGAGCATGTCTTTTTTTTTTTCCCAACTGTGATTTGGGTGAAAGTTTACAGAGCAAATTCACTTTCCATACAGCAGTTCACACACACGTTGTCTCATGACATTGACTACAATTTACCCCATGCAACAGCTCCCCTCCCACTTCCTCCTGATAGTTACCTCTTCCCCATGTCCATCCCTCTATGCACTCCTGCCCCCTGAACTGTCTTCCTGTGTATAAAAAGCCCCTCTTTCTCCATGATTGTTCTTTCCAAGGAGTGTATCTACCTCAGGTAAGTGTTCAACTCATATGCCTGCCTTTTGTTTGGCTGGAAGCCACAGGTGTGGGTTCAATTCCAGACCTGAAGGGTGGCTAGGGACCACCCAGTTCCACCAGGCTCTATCAGACCAGCAAACCTAGTCTCCCTTTTATTTTTTCAAATGATTTTGAGTTTTGTTCCACATTGTTCTCCCTCTCTATCCAGGAACTCCTACATAGACGAGCATGTCTTTTGAATTTTTATTTCTTTAACGATGAGATTTTGTAATATAAGAGCACGAATCCCCCTTTGCAACTCATGAGTGACAGATGTGGGATGAAAAAGAACAAATGGTATAAAATAATATATCAAGTAAGAGATAGTTTCATCTTCTACTCCAAGTAGGAGAGATTCTTCCTGTCAAATTAAGTCCAGAATCCTTTAGACACTGTCACAGTAGCAGAAAATTAACTTTGAAAATGTTAATAAATGCTCACATTAGAGAAAGCATACTACAATATCTCATAATCACAGCAAGAATCATACAAACTATACAGAAAAGCAGTCTTCCACAAAAATTACTTTTGAAATAACTAGTATATTGTAATCAGTGCATAAGCACAGGACAACAGTAGTAAGTCTGGAGCAAGTAGCAAGCATCTCAGAAGAGACTGGAAAAGGATAAACAAAAGAATACCAACTGGATCAGGACTAGCTGTTTAATAATATTGGTAAAATCATCATTATTTCCTCAGTGAGGAGGAACTCAGGTCTGATGGCAATACTGTATGGATTTATACATGTATATTAAATGTCTATTTTTAAAAAAAAAGAAACCAAACTCACTCCCATTGAATCAATTCTGACACAGTGACACCCAGTGGGTTTCCAAGGTTGTAAATCTTTACAGAAGTAGATTGCCCCATCTTCCTACCATGGAGCAGCTGGTGAATTTGAACCACCAACATTCTGGTTAGCGGTCAAATGCCTTAGGCACTGCACCACCAGAGCTCCTTTTACACGTCTATAGTTCTCATTATTTAATGTGCTCAATCACTTTTAACCATCTTCATAAAGTCCTGAATTAAAGAACCTATTCAGGTAGTCATCGATTAGTACTAGAACTGGGAGAGCCATAGTCTTGCACAGCTAGAAGCCTGGTACTTAAGGTGGGGAAAACCAGGTAAGTGGTATTCTTTAAAGAATTCAGTCTTGACAAAGTTTATTTCATGTTGGGTGTTTAATATATCCATTAACTATCAGATCATGTCTTTCTGGAGTAATTTTTTAACCAGAAGAATATTATCAGTAATCAACATAAACTACTTCTATTACTATTTAGCACTCGATGACACATAACAACAATAACAATAACAGCTCTAACCGTATTTCTAAAAACATTTCAAATACTGCCCTCTTGTGATGTAAAGAAATACCTACCTTTTTGAATTTCTTGAAATTCTTCAGTTGACAATAATCATTATTTACAATGGATGGGTTTCTGGAGGTTGAGTTACTAACCACCAGTGACCTAAATTCAGTCAGTACTACCTTCCTTGGAAGCATCTCATCGTCATCCTGAATTTCACCATTGTTCTTAAATAGGGTAAAGATGGATAAAAAAGAAAGAAAAAAGAAATTACAAGGGAAATTACTTGTCTTTTAGGGATGTAGGGAAAAAAAAGTTAATCTACCTGGAAACACAGTAAACAAAGGCTTATTTCTTCTCTCTGAACTTTTTATTCAGAACCGAATCATACATATTTCAAAACGAGAAAATAGCTTACTAAAATACTCTATAACTTTGGAAATTTTGTAACAGAATTGCTTCTTGTTGTTGTTGTTGTTATGTGCCATCGAGTCGGCCCCGACTCATAGCGACCCCCCCTTGGGTTTCCAAGGCAGTATCATTACGGAAGTAGGATTGCCCAACCTTCCTTCCGAGGAGTGGCTGATGGGTTTGAACCGCCAGCCGTCTGGTTAGCAGGCAAGTGTCTTAGCCACTATGCTACAGAATTGCTTACTGTCTAGTTAGTTACATATCAACATTTCTACAGCTGCTCAAAGCTGACCATCTTAGGTCTCTTCCCTGCTGAACTATATATAATTCACATGGAAGTTACTAACAGGCCTAAGATAAATGCAGTCAGCAAGAGAAGGGAAAGAAAAAAAAAGAAAAGTTAAATGAAAAGGTTCATCTGATAGTGACAGAATGTAATTGACTTCTAATAAAATACGAGACTAGTACTTTTGTATTGTGTGAGTTTACAAATACTTTATATCTAGTACTTTTACATGATAGACACAACAACTATGTTGGAAAAATATCAACCTCATTTTATAAACAGATGACTTTACCATAAATATGAAAATGATTTGTTCCATAGCTACAGTAGCAGAACAAGGACTTACACCCAAGCTTCTTTCCACGTTCTCTTTCACATATGATGTTATAGTGTCATCTATTTCCAGAGGAAGTATACTTGTGAGATACAATAAAATTGTAGAAAAAGTAATA